CGAATCTTCTCGAAAAATTTTCCTTTAACTTTTGAATGTGATTGGAAATGATGTTTTAAATGTAAATATATCTATATTATTTTCCTTGATAAAATCGTTAAAGCAGGGGAACATATCGGTGTTATTTTTATTCAGTTCAGTTTCCCAGAGACTAAGCTTATTCTTAAAAGCTTGAATTTTACTGGCTGAAGTTATGATAGTTGAGTTCTCACCCTGCAAGCTCAAATTTAAGTCGTTAAGTTTTTTGAAAATATCAACTAAATAGCTCAGCTTCCCTAGTCAAACTTCACTGATATAATAACTTGCCAATCTATGTTTCTTTTCGATTAAAAACATGTACACTTCATTTCTCAAATCAAATATCCGTCGTATTATTTTCTCACGTGAAAGCCATCTGACGTTGGTGTGTAACAGTAATCTCTCATACGTTGAGCCCATCTCATTGCAAAGTACTGAAAAGAGACGGCTGTTATGGCTGTTGTATTTAATGTAGTTAATTGATCTAACAGCGTCTTGTAATATGTTGTGCAACTCTTCATCCATATCTTTTGCAACAAGAGCTTGCTGATGAATCATACAGTGATTAAATACCATATGAGGCGCCACCTTCTGAATTAAGCCTCTGAGCCCTTTATTCGAACCTGTTATGCTGCAGCACCATCAGTACAAACCGTAACACAGTTTGCCCAGGTAATGGACTTTGTTTCAAAATATTCATTTATTACTTCGAATATTTTTTCTCCAGTTGTTTTTCCTTCGAAACTTTTGCAACATAAAAGCGTTTCTGTTATATCTTCATTAAAAATAAACCTAACGTAAATAATTAGTTGTGACATTTTAGTAATATTTGTAGTCTCGTCCAGTTGTAAAGCAAATACAGATGAATTTTGTATGCGTTTTATGACTTCTGACTCGATATTTCGTGACATTTCGGAAATCCGCGGAGACACGGTATCTCTTGAGATAATGGTATTGTTTTTAGTTCATTTCCATATTTATCGCCATGCATAATTGATGTCATCTTAGTTGCTGCAGGAAGGATAAGGGATTCTCCAATTGTATGGGGTTTCATTGTTTTTCCTATTAGATAAGAAACTTCTAAAGAAGCTCGTAATGCTTTCTGAGGTATTGTTGTAAATTTCTTTAAATGTGCACTTTGAATTTTCAGATTTTCAGCTCATCTTTGAAAAAAAATCAGCATGTTTATTTTGAAGTTCTTTATGTTTAGTTTCCAGGTGCTTTTTTAATTTAGCTGGTTTCATGCTCTCATTTGCTAATTTTGCGTTGCAAATGACACATATTGGGCATTCTTCATCATCAACAACACAAAATGCAAAACCATACTTAATAAATTCTTCATTGTATTTTCTTATTTTTTTAGATCGGGCATTTAGTTCAGTATTTTGCGACTCCTCGTCAGTATTTGTTCGTTTGTTAGCTGAAGATGTACCTGGTGTACGTATTACCCATTTATCCATTATGAAGATAGGGGTTAAATTATTTAAACTAAAACAAATAATATATAAAATTTTATAATTTTTTTCGAGAAATTTAATAAAATTAACAGAGATCTTTCTCTAATGATAGTACATACCTGATAACAAAGAGTAGCAAAGCCCGATAAAAATATAAAAAATCATAATTACACAACGTCACATGATAAAACTCGATGATAAACTAAAACAATTGCAGGCAAATTAAACTCTAGTTTAAGAATATTTGAAACTGAGAGATGTCGGCCGTTAAAAGGCACACCGTGTTTCCTCACGCACTTCCCTAATTTTTTTCTAAATTTTTCGTAAGTAAATCGAGAGGGAAAAATTATGCGAATATTTTAATGGTACACTGTATGCAGCATGCAGGCATAATGCATTTCATAAAAATTTGGTGACCCCCAAAAAACTTCTGGCAACCCCAACAGGGGTCGCGACCCCTAGTTTGCGCACCACTGCCATAGGGGTGTGTGTGTGTGATTATGGCAAAGCCTCGAGGGCTATCTGCCTAAGGGGAGGGATGCCTTTGTGGAGGACTTTCTAAGGGAAACTGGCTCGTATACACGTTACACATGGGGAAAACCACGAAAACGCCCATGCAGCCAGCCCGTTCGCGGGGATTCGAACCTCAGACCGAACTACCAGTGTTCAGCGACTTCACTCGGCCGCTGGTGGGCCCCCCACTGCCATAGAGGAACCCAGTACTATTATAGCATGTACAGCACATGCATCCAGGAAGGGTTGAAGGTGGAAGTCCCAAACAACAAGAAAGCAATGTAAGTTGGGTGCTGTGAACATTTTAACTAAACAAAAGAATGTGCTAAAACCATCTATTGACAAAATCTACAGTCATGTAATTGCTGTGTTGCCACCCAATAAAAAGATATTAATTAGGTGATATTTTCATTTTTTTAAAAGATGTGTTGCAGACTTTAAGGAAAAAAAGAAATTGCAGTCTTTGACATGTGATACATTTGGAGTTTCGAAGTGACAGTGTTATACGTCACACTGTTTTTCTTGCTTCCATATCAATTTCTCTAATATTGGTTTTATTTATTAATCCTCCCCATTGATGTAAAAACATACTTATAAAGAAATTAATACTATAATTTGTAGAAGTGTTCCGCCATGTTATAAATGCAGTTTCTTTTTTCTCCCTTTTTTTTTTACTTCTTTATGAATTGATTATGCATTATTTATTCATTTCCTTTTACTTATCTCAAAAACAGATTAGCATTAAAAGTATTGTAATGAAATCTGCTGTGAACATTTAAAATTTTTTATATTTTATAAGTTTATATACATTTTCCTTAGAATTTATTATAAAAGCTTATTGTTTAAATTTTATTACAAAACTTAATATTATATTCTTTTATATGACTTTCAAATTCTGACATTGAAAAAAAAGTATATAAAAAGTATATTGAAAAAAAAGTTACAAAGATCTGAAATTTTCGTGGGTTATGGAACAAGATATTCAATAAAGGAAAATTAATTAGATTGATAGAAACATTAGATAAAATAACATTAGCAAGATTTATTAAAAAAATTAATTAAGCATCTTTCTAAAATTTCTTTTAAAACTAACTGCTGCAGTATCAGTCATCAGATTGCCATACATAACTCATCGGATCGAATGCATGCTGAATGTGGTAATTTATCTAAGGGGGGGGGAAATATTCACAGAAGGTCAAGCACATGTTGCTTTTAGAAAAGTTAAGTCACAGGAAGGACATAAGGTTCAGGAGCTGGGTAGCACAAAGCAAACTAGAAACAAAATGTCATATAATAATAATGCCTTAGTGGAAGTAAAGAAAATGTAAGCAAATTGTCCCAAATAGTTAAAGATCAAATACATGATTTTTTTTTTTTAAATCACATATACTGTGCATAAATTTTAATGTGAAATTAGAAAAAAATATATTTTATCATAAGATTGTAAATAATATAAAAACTAAAGTGTAATAACTGTTTGTGAGAAGTAAAAGAGAGATTTTTCAATTGAATACTTTGATAGATTGTAATTTAGAATACAAAAAATTATATAAAAAGCTTTTATTTAAAACTTTTGTTTAGAATTATAGTTTATTGTATAATTTAATAAGAACAAAAGCATTAAGTAATTTTCTTTACAAAATTCATATACAGTCTTATGAATAATAAAAGCATGAGTACTTAAATAACGGAAAATAATACAGTCAAAAGTCGTTAATCAGGAATGATCTATAATCCGGACCTCAAAGCTACAAACTTTCTGCACATGCGTCAATGCATAATGCATTCACGCATGCGCGTAATACTTTTACGCATGCGCATATACGTGTGCGCGCCGCAGAGCGGCCGGGGGGGGGGTAGCGCCTTATAATTCCTTACTAAATGTAGGATTTCATCTTGATGTACTCAGTCTTTGATATGATTTAAATCGGATTCCTCGTCATTATAATTCGCTTCCGATAGTGAAGATAGTGACACAGAGGTTATCCAAAACGAAAAATTTTCGATTGACAAATTAGTCGGTATTCTCGACACAGCAATTATTGGACTTGAACAGCGGAACTTTGTAACTGAACAAGAAATTATGTCTGTTTATAGAATTAAAGAGAAAGTATCATATAAAACGAAGCAACTTAAACAACTTGCATTGAAAGAAATGTTTAATAAAGTAAACAATTAAATATTGAGCTTTCTTTTTTTATAAATTTTGATACGCTTTAGATCATAATTGTTCTTTATTTCATAAATTACGGTTTAATATTTTTAATTTTTCAATTTCTACATATCTCACCAGATTTAAACAGATGATCTCGATAATCTGGAATCGCCGAGGTCCCGACGAGTTCAGATTAAAGACTTTTGACTGTAATTGAATTGCATTGTCAAAATTATAATACATTGTGTTTGTAAATTTTATCAAGGGTTCTTTTATTATTCATGATGGAAAATTATACATAAATGTTTTATTTTTTTAAACATGGGGCTGCTTTTAAAGTATATGGCTTTCAGTTTGTAAATATGGTTCATATTTAACTGTTATCTCCAGAATGTCCAAAGGTTCATTTTGATCCTGACTGGTAACTTATTTATCATACAGATTATTAGCATTTGTTAATGATGTATTTATTGGATATTTATTTCATCTTTTTAAAAGTTCATTTATAATAGTGAAGAAAAGGAAATTCTGTAATGATATTTTTACATAATTAATTGAAGATTAGTCAAATGTCAGGAAATTGCCAGAATGTGCACTTTTGCTGATAATCCTGAAATAACAATAATTTATGATGGTGCTGTTTGAAAAAATGTGGACATTGCTTCCTAAAACTGAATAAAGTATGCTGTGTAAAGCCTTTGAACTAGCAAAAATATTAATTTTTACAATGTAAGAAAATTTTTCATAATCCTGCTATTGTTTTGACCAAAACTATAGCTAATGTTTCATATTGAATGCATTTCTGTATGCTTTTTTTTACACTTATAAAATTTTAATGTCTTATTTTGAACATTTAGATCGGTATCAATGGTTGGTGAAAAGGAGAGAAAACTTTTGAAGGAGATTGTTAAGAAGACGAAAAATCCTGTAAGGAGTAGAGTAATTGCACCTGGTGTGTTATTAAATATTTTTATATTAACAGTAAAAAAAAAAAAAAAAAAAAAAAAAAAAAAAAAAAACTCGGATTTTCTTTTTTTGGAGGGGTAACATGTGTGTAGTATGATGATATCCAGAAGATACTGTTTATATATTTTCTCCCAAGTAGACTGTTAGGTATCTATACATTAATAGGATTCCAGTCGCAGTTCTGAATTAAAGCATCAAATATGATAAACTGTTTATTTTACATGAAGAGTAATTGTGCAGTGATTGGGAAGAAGGAATACTGATCTAATATTTTTCATTTCAAAATTTTCAGTTGCTTTTTGTTAATGTGCTTTATTTTATTTTATTTTTTTTTAATTTTTATTTTTTTTTAAAGTCCAGAATGGCCCGAAGGACGATTATTTTCATTCTGGCATTTTGCGTTGGTTCACTATAAATGTCCGATTCACTTTTCGAATTGTTGTCACCAAATATTATCGCCCTGTATCCTGATATATCCTGATGGAACTTAACACAGTGAAGATAGTTTGGATAAGGAGATGTAATTTCTTTAAGAATAAATGTTAAAACATATTTCTGATAGAAATCCGAATTAATTTAGACATTTTTTTTTCTACTTTCCTAATTTTAAGTTTTCCGTTATAAGAAAATCCAATAATAAACAGAAAACCTTTAGAAAATCTTTTCTTGTTTTTTCTGAACCAATATATTAAGTCTTTTCCTCCTCTTTTTTTGATAGTAAATTAATCTTTTTCTATTGCAATCGTATAAGTATATCCGAGCCTTATCAGTTGTAACTATATATTTCCATTTTTCACCAAATAATTTTCATGCAGGAATCTGCACATAGTCGTACCCTCAGAAACAAGTTTTGGCGTTAGACGATGAACATCATGCTTTTTTTTTTTTTTTTTTTTTTTGATTAGCTTCAAATCAGATTTTATAATTTTGTTCACAGTTTCTACAGAGATATTTAAAGATTTTGCAATAACTCTTTGGGGATTCTCCTTTAAAACGTCAGATGCGACTTCAGATTTAAAAAGAGCTGTACGTACCTTTGTTAGGTATGCATTTTTTTGCCTTTTTCCCAGTCAGATGTAAACTTTGATGTTTCTTTCCTTTTATATTAATTATGTCAGTTATTTTATGTGTAGAAATATTAAAACGATGCTTTTTACATCTTTTTTTTTTTTTTTTTTTAAATATTTGAATAAGATTATTTATCCAGACATAGTTGAAATCAATTTTTGGCAGAGTTGCATGTGGTTTACAGATCATTGTTCTAAACAAAGGCGCCACAAGACAGGTGTGAAATAGTTCTAGCAGAATGAGGGCACAGTAAGCATATCTTGGGATAGGATATGATGTTTGTAACCATTGAACAAAAGAACATCTCTCATGCCATTCAAGTTTGTTGAATGAGCTGTCAGACACGGCCAAAGCTCTGATGGAAATTTTGAAATTTTTGGCTTTTCAGGGAATGAGGAAGTAATCATTCATGTTGGCTAAGCGCTGTATTATTGATTTAGATTCTAGATAATGAAATTTTGTCATTATTGCTTTGTTTTGTTTGAGTTTAGATGGTTTTCAAGTTATGTCCTTTGAATAAGGGTTTTGCTTTCTTAAGGTCTTTTGCAAGACATTCTGTATAATGCTTTATATATTTATGTAAATCTTTGCTTTTCAAGCATGGATAAAATTTTCCTGCAATCTGCAACTTGCCAGCAGAAAATTACAGTTTATTTTTGTACTCAGAAATCTAAAGTATAGATAACTTTGTCAGTATTTTGTGATATTAATCTTCAGTGCTTTTACATTTTGAGGATAAAATGATTATTCATAGTAATGAATGGTAATTCATGGGAAGTATCAGATATTTATTTTAAGTAATTTAGCACATAATCGTGAAACTGGAAGAGAACAACCAAATAATTTAACGGTTGTTCATAACAAAAGTTATAATCGTATTAAGTATGATTAAAAAAAAAATAGTTGTATTATTCTCTTTTTTACTTTTATGAAGTAAAGAAAGTATTGTAATTAAGAAAAATTTTAGGCACCATATTTCAACGAAAATATCCATTTGGAAAAACTCGAGCATTTCCTGCAACTAGTGTTACCATGATTATGAGGTAAGTCGACAAGAGCTGAAGTGCCTATTCTAAACAGCATATAATAGACCTCTCGCAACTATTGAAGCTATTTCATATGTTAAATTGGAACCTGAATTTGTAGAAACAAAGAACAGAAAACAATACCGTAATTTCCGGAAGAAACGCCACAGTGTTTATGTGTTTAAAACTTAAATTTTCAGCGGGTGCGGCGTTTCTACCTATGCGACATTTAGGTGCACTAAAAATAAAATATTTTCTATGATGGTCATTGTACATAGTTTGGATGGCCTTGTCATTGTGCATAGACTAGTGCTGTTCCCACACAAAAGACCACTCAGTTGCTTTTTGCGAACGTTATTTTGTTTACATTCTTTCCCTTGAATGGACCTACATGCTTATTCACCCTAAACGAGATCTCAGAACATAACATTCCCCCTTTCAAATCAACATTCTCATCAGTTGAATAGTCTCTCTCCTCTGCCATTCGATGATCTTCCGGACCCATCCTCTCCCCCCCCCCTGCCTTTTCTGCAATTTTTTTCAAAGGCGGACACGACTCCACTGTGAAGTAACAAACTCTGAAGTATTTTCCCTTCAGCATGAATGGTTTTTCTTGGCATTCTGCCAAATACCAGATCCATCATTTGGGTACACGTACTTGTTGGATCGTTTTAATTGGGGAGTGGAAAATTTTTGAAAATGTCCTAAACGCACAGAAGCTAACATTTCTTACTTAATTTATTTTGAGTTATGTTCATTTCATGCATTTGCTTACTGGTATGTCTATATGACTTAGGTGATTTTTGCATCATACGGCCCACGACGATGTCACTGCAATTTAATCATTGGCAGTGTTTACGCTGAGTTCTTTCATCTGTTTGCCGCCATGCATTTACTCGTTTATCAGGGCTGTGACTTTTTCTCTCCGGAACTTCTTGGAAAGTTATTCCATGAGATCTCGAAACGCATTCACCAACCATTGGCTAGCTTGAAATTTCGTTTATCTAGCATTGCTGCAAATTTTCCGTGCTTTTGCACATATAAGGTCCATTTATTGGACATTTGTTGCTCTCACTCTTTGAAACCTTTTAAACCGCACACTGTTTCATTTGTCGCAACTTTCATCGTTTTCACCTTGTTAATTTTTCCTTTGAAGTTACAGCTCTTCGATTTTGCTTTCTCTTCTTTAGGAACGTGCAACTGTAGATTGGATAATCCATGTCTTTAGCGCATCTCTGCTACATCCCTCATCAATATCTTGATCCATCTCCCCCTGTTCCTCTAACAAAGGCACTTGTTCTGTACAAGGTGACCAGACATCTAATGTCCTTACTTATCAGAACTCCAAAGCTCGGGGAAATGAGACTAGGCATACATTACACTTCCCCCCCTCACCCACTCCATTTCAAAGGGTGGTCTTCATCTGTATTGAAATCTGAACAATGCTATTTTTCAGGGATAAGTTTGAATATCCACAATGGTCTTAATGAGGGAAAAAATAACAAAAGAAACGAAAAAAAAAAAAGCATTTGAAAATCAAAATATTATTAAAAGGAGAAAATAATACTGAAAATTAGATTGAAAAATCGTTTACAGAGGTTTATTTTTCTGGAGAATATAGCAATATTGAGGGGAGATTAACATTAGTTTATATGCAAAATCACTGGGACCACAAAACATTATTGTAGTAGAGGGAGTTATTGTTGTATCGGGTATCGTTGTAGCGAGAATTTACTGTATATATATATTCTCATACCATTCAGTTTCTTTAATATTATTATTATTATGAATTCTGTACATAGATACGTTATTTTAGTGCAATTATATGTGAAATTGTATTTTTCTGTGTAATGAAAAATCAAAAGAGACAAGTTATGCTGTAAATGTAAGAATACAGGAGCAAGTCTGTTTAACATGGAGTAAATGGGTATCTTGGTAATTTGGTGAGATATCGCCAAGCTAGTTACGGTTTGTCGCCAAACTTGACAAGAAATCGCCAACTTGGCGACATTTTGGTCTTGTCCCTGTTTCACCATAATAAGTGTTGTAATTGAATAAATGTAATTGATCACTCTATTACCTGTAACCGTAATTCGACTCTCATATTGCCTTCCAGTATTTTCAAGGAGCAGAAAATGCTAGAAATATCTCAGTGTCCAGGTGAAAACTGTATAAGGTCAGTGAGAACATCTGCTGTCAGTTGCTGTTGTTAGCTGTTAGCTCAGCGTGACTGTTGAGTACTATCTCCCGTTTAGCTTCACTTTTTAGTTGCGCTTTGCAGTGCTTTGTATTTAACATTCATAGTATTTTAAAGCGTAACTACTGACTGTATTCTGTGATATTGTAAAGAGTTGTATGATTACTTTTAGTGGAAAGTTCCAAATGTTTGAAGTGTTTCTTTTATTACGAACCCATATACCTGCAACACTATATAACAATGCTGACTTTATTTTTGATTCTTCCTTAGTAATATGTAAATATTAGTTAAATTTTGTATGAAATTTCACATTTTATTTTATTTTTTATGCAAGTGTTGGATGATTTTTTTTTTATTGTTTTAGAAATTATCAGTAAGTACCATGCAAAAGTTACTTCATTAGAAGATGATCTTTCAAAAGTAATGAGAGAAGAAAAAGAGGACAAAGAGCTCCAGTCCATGGAAAAGCGTGTTAAAAAAGCTGAAAGTTTAATTGAAGGAAAGAAAGACACTGAGCCCAAAAGAGGCTGGTTTCAAACTCCAGCTGAGAAAAAAAGGGAGAGGGGTAAGTTTCAAATAAAGCAAAATGTTTTTCTATGTAAGTTTCTGTTACACTTCAAAGGGTAAACTTAAAATTTTACCTTGGAAAAATAAAGCCTTAGATGCGTTTTAGTGTTTTAGAAAATAATGGAGAACAGCAGTCCTTAGCCTTTTCTAGCGTCTTTTTGACCTATACAAGATTCTTTCCATCAATAGTTGATGCTTTTTATTCAGTCTATAGTCTAGGTAAATGTTGCTAGTGCGCAAAATAAGATGTTGAATTCATCATCTGTGCACACTTGCATATAATGCATTATCAAATTGTGGGCATTCAACAAAGCATAGAAATTTCTTTGTTAATTATTAGGAAATCGAGTAATTTAAAAGAAGTGGGAAGTATAAGTCATTTATTACCTGTCATGCTCTCGCACATTGTTGATTCTCTGACTGTTATCATTTGACAAAGTGTACTATCTGTAAATTAGCTTTCAAAATTTAATCTTTCAGTTATTGATTCACCTTCTGAAAACAATAAATACATTTCTTTGTAATTTAAATCTATATTTTATGTTTTGAAGCAAAATTTAATCTTTGGTTATTGATTCATCAATTGGAAATAATAAATACATTTCTTAGTAATGTAAATCTATATTTTATGTTTTAGCAGATTTAAATTCAAATATATTTAATTTATTATGTATGTAACTAATAATTTTTACAACCATTTTACAGCTGTGTCGTAATTAATAAAATGTATTTCCAGTCTGACATCTCTAAGATTTCAGAATAATTTTATGTAAAAATTTTTATTGTTTTACATTTTTAAATATTTTTGAAAAAAATTGTTTGACGTTTTTAATTATAATATTGGATGTGTTAAACTGTAATTGTTATAGCACCATTTTACAATATTCAAATCTCTAGTGTAAACATTCTGCATTTCAGGCACTATATATTGCTATATGGTAAATAACAGTAAGTGTGTATAACATATAATGGAAAATTAAACAAGTTTGTGTTGTGAAGAGACTGTAACCCAATCATTAAGATAAAAATTTAAAAAACTTTTAAGAAAACATAAATTGAGTTTACAGAATCTTGTTATGGTTACAACTTTAGCAGGTGGCAGGATTAGCAAATATAAAACAAATATTTGTAACCTCTATCTGTAAAAGAATTTTCATTTCTTTTACAAATAGAGGTTACAAATAGGTCCCACTTTAAAGCAAATTAGATTTTTGTATTCACAAATAATACACAAAACCGTATAGGCTGAAATATATAAGACATTCAATCAATATTTAGTGAAACACAATAAAGTCCGGTTGACTTCAGGGGCACATAATAATACCGAATTTCCACAGTCATTATTTTCAACACAAAATACATTATGCATACAAAACAAATAAAGCAAAGTAAAACTTTTAAAACTGGATATCACTGAAATTAATTAGATAGAAAAAATTAATTTTGAGATGCATAATTTCAAATGCGCTTATTAACTCAGGAAAAGTAAAAAGTTAGTCACTATAAATCAGAGTTAGTATGTTTTTAGTTGCTTTTCAGCCATGAATTTTCATTAAATAAATAATCTTTCTATTTTTGGTAAAAATAACAAAATGTTAACTGGTTACACCAGAAGGCTATTACTACATTACTTCTGGAGATGGCGATAAATTATACCAGATAAGGTGACGCTTTTGTTTATAGAGGAGAAACATTTACATTGGAACAGTCATTGTTGGAACATGGAGGATGCTACTGAATCTAGAGAGTAAACAATCTAAAAAATAAAGAGAAGAAACATTATTTAACGAAGATGATTAACCAGAAGTGAAGATCTCCTCTGCGCTGTCCTCCTTGGACAATCAGGATAGTCAGTCACAGCCATGACTTTTTTTTCTTTCTCAGCTGTCTCAAAAAAACAATTTGCTTTGGCAAGGACTGAGCTTCGAATGTCCCACTGATGCTCTTCTTTTCATGGTGACAATTTTCTTACTTAGCAAAGAAACAATCCCCCACAAACAACAAGAGGAATGCCAACCATCAACAACCTTATCAGTACCTCTCAGGGAAAGCGTTGACAAGGATCTATTAGAAATTGGCACACATTGCTCCTTCTTCCATCTCTGCACTCCAGAGATAAAATCATTTCCCCCAGTCATGTAAGCCTTCAACTTTCCATAAAATTTTGTAAACAACCAACTTCAAACTTGCAAAAATCTTTATCCAGACTAGTGCTTGGCAGGAACAGAATTTTCTTATCTTAAGTTAACAAAAGCAATCCTCTAGAAACATTGTAACATAGAATACTCCTTTTGAACTATGGCTGATACAAGAAATGAAAGCACATATGCAAAATCTCACTGTTGCATTGCGTATGTTATATTCAAAAGAAGTTCTTAGAAAATTTCACGAAATGCTTTCTAGCATTATTATACATTATCAGTTTTTTTAATGGAAATAGAAGATCTGTGGGAGGCAGCTCTGGGATGTTAAGCTAGATAATAAACTGAAAAGAGTCCATTAAGTTGATTGTTGGTAGGTTGTTAGAAACTGGAAGGAGAAAGTCTTGTTAACCTGCCTTAGAATTGGTCCACTTGCAGTTTACTCACAGCTAGCTACTGAAAGCAGAAAATTGGCAGTTTATTCCAATTGTAATTCCATTATGTCTCTGAGTTTTAGGTAGTTGTTCATTTTAATATTTAGTATTTTATCACTTCTTTTGATTTTATGGATTTCACATGGTTTTAAACTCGTGTTTGACTATAATTTTTGCCTTTATCTAGTTTATGTTTGAAAAAATCTCACATGTATTCAGCGCATATAAACTTTTAAGGTTTTATGTTAGAGAACTGATTATTTCCCTACCCTACCCTAATATTAACTATTTATTGATAACTGCATTCATTGATGAAGTATAAATTCATCTGTTCAAATCTATTTTGTATAAGACAGTATCAATGAGTCTTTCTGATATTTTGATATTTCTGCAGGAATGTGTACCTGTTAAAATTTTTTCCAACACGGCTCCTCTTTTTTTTTTTTTTTTTTTTTAAGTCCAAAGGCACTTGAGTCCCGAAGGACTATCACTTCTGTTTTGGCATTTTGTGTCGAAGAAGAAATTAACTAATGAAAAATCTGCATAAATGTATGTACAGTACAAAGTCCGTAATCCGGACTGCAGATTATCAATTTAAATCTGATAAGACGGCATGCAGAAAGTATACAATTAAAAATATGAAATCGTAATTTATGAAATAAAGAGCAATTATGAATTAAAGGGTATCAAAATTTGCAAAAAAAAAAAAAAAAAAAAAAAAAAAAAAGCTTAATATTTATTTGTTTACTTTATTAAACATTTCTTTCAATGTAAGTAGTTTAAGTTGCTTCGTTTTTGTGCTAATACTTTCTCTTTAATTCTTTCTTCTATAAACAGTATCTCTTCTCTTTACGCGTATGTATAGCGGAGGCGCATATTAAACACGCATGTGTAAACGTATTATGCGCATGTATGAACGTATTACGCATGCGCATAAAGTTTGTAGCTTTGAGGTCTGGATTATAGATCATTCCGGATTATGGACGTCCGGATTAAAGACTTTGTACTGTATATTTCTCACATTGTGATAAAACAACAGTATCTAGAGCCATCCAATTCTGAATGATGTAATCCTACTGCGAATATGAGCATCTGAAATCCCAAATTTGGAATCTGTTTTATTATTGATTTCATATTTTGTAAAATGTTAATGAATTTTTGAGTAACAAACTCAACGATTTAAAAGCGAGCAATGGCAACACTCTACGGGGGGGGGGGGAACCTATTTATCTCTATTGCGTCGAACTGTGTATCGGAAATTCTACAGATATGCTCATTTTAAAATTATTTTTCTGAAAAATTTCAGTTTTTTTTTTTTTATTATTATTAAGTAAAAATATAATTTTTTTTTATAAGTAAACTGGGCCTTTGTCAGAAAATCCTATTGTGTTTGCTGATACTCATGTCTGTTGTACATGTCACATGAACTTGTTTAGTTATTTGTTTTGTTCTCAAATAAATACTTAAACTGAAGCATGAATGAATGCACTGATTGATTCCTCCATCTTTGAACCCATTCTTGTTTGAGATTTGTTGACACTTATAGAGACATTAGGTTTGTTTTAATGTGGGAGACGGGTCTGAGCAATATCCTCGCTGAGACTCGAACCTGGACCTCTTGAATACATGCCAAGTGTGCTGCTGTTACATCACAAAGGCATTCCGAAAGGAGGGAGAAAATACCTTATACACTCCACCTTTTAAAGGGTGACTGGGGATTAGGGGACCCAGTCACCAAATCCCCCTGTGGTGAAGAATCATCATCCACCTCCTTTTAGATTAGGCGCCACTGTAGAGTCATTAGACTATTAAAATGCTGAAGATGTGAAAAATGATTGATGCCCTTGCCGGAATTCAAACCTGGACCTCTCGAATACGCGATGAGTTTGCTTATCAGTTGATCGACAAAAGACAGCACAGTAAATGTTGCACACTACTGCAAATCAATGCAGTGTTTGAAGAAGACAACAGTAGACCTGGAGTGGTGTCTTAATGCATTATTCTTTTGTAGGAAAGTGTAAAGTCACTTACTGCATTTGACACCTTAGTAAAAGTCCACCATTTAAACTAAAATGTGCCACTTCCCTCCATCTTTGCCATTATTTTAAACCTAAAGAAGAAGCCCAAAAAGCAAAGTTCTTTACATCAGTTGTCAAACTTCAAAATGTATCTCATTTGAGGCTTTAATGACAGCTTGAAGAGTTTTCAGGAAAGGAATTGAGTACCTAGTGTATCTGTGGGATCATTGTTTCAAGAACCATAGATGTGATGTCAAGTAAAAATTATTTATAGAATCACAGTGAAAAAAATACGCGTACTAATTGAGCAACTTGTATACAGTACAAAGTCCGTAATCCTGACGTCTATACTCGGGACCTCAAAGCAACAAACTTTTTTTTTTTGTATGCTTTACGCATGCACGTTGGGGAGATGTGTCTCCAGATAAGTTAAAAGATTCTTGGCATAATTTATGGCCAGATACCATATTTATTTCATGGTGAGGACGATGAAGATGATAGCCACGGATTTGAACTTTTTTGGACATCGCAAGCTAAAGTTGAAATTTTCCAATTATTAGATTTTGTAAAGAAATGTGGAGAAGCGGTAATAAATGAAGATGATATAACAGAAGTTTTTCATTGTGACGACAATGCCCCAATCATCAATCAATTAACGGATGACGAAATATGTAGTATGGTTTCTAGATCCAGAAAATACCGCTTCCAATAGTGAAGAAAGTGACAGAGAGGTTATTGAAAATGAAAACATTTCGATTGACAAATTAGTCGGTATTCTCGACACAGCAATTATAGGACTTGAACAGAACTTTGTAACTGAACGAGAAATTACATCTGTTTATAGAATTAAAGAGAAAGTATTAGCACAAAAAAACGAAGCAACTTAAACAACTTACATTGAAAGAAATGTTTAATAAAGTAAACAAATAAATATTAAGTTTTTTTGATACTATTCCGTTTTGAGGACCTTAAAATATCGTCAAACTATTGTTGATGACATTGCTGCCAAAATAATTGCGGCAACCCTAACACAAGAAAGGAAGTATAATAGTAAATAACTATCTAAAGATTATTTTTTAAATTTATATGAAAGGTTTATTTCATATAATACATAATACTTTTTTATTATTATAATTCTGAAAAAGGCTTAAACATAACTAAATGGAAGCATAAGAGTAAATAACTATTTTCAGATCATTATTATAACTTATATAAAAAAAGGCTAAACATAACTGAATGGATTCCTGCATTGCTATTTCTCTACCGAGCATTTCGTTGGTTGTTCAGACATAATTTTCTATAATGAATGGTACCTTTTCTTTGAAAAAATTCTATTGCAGACTTTTCGTCATGGGCAATTCCCAAATTGTTAAATCCATAGGATATCAAAAAAGGATTTAAAAATGAAACTAGTATTTCAATGGCGTCTTAAGAAGTATAGAACTATCTAAACTTACGCAATTTGAAATCAGCAGGTACGCTAGATTTGGCCCACTGTTAAATGGGCATGTTTGTTAGGATTGCCGCTTTTGAGCATACATTTTCGCTCAATTTTTTACTTTCTTCAAAATGGAATAGTACCTTTTTTTTTTTTTTTTTCCGTAAATTTTGATACCCTTTAGATCATAATTGCTCTGTATTTCATAAATTACGTTTTCATATTTTTAATTATATAATTTCTGCATGCCATCTTACCAGATTTAAACTGATGATCTATAATTTGGAAAAATCCCTAATCCGGAATCGCCGAAGTCCTGACAAGTCCAGATTACGGACTTTGTACTGTATAATGTTATATATGTTCTTTGGTAATTTGAATTTACCAGCATGATCATCTACTTTCATGTGGTCTCAAAAGGATTTAAAAAAAGGCAATCTGTAGATATTTTTGTATAATTTTAGCTGCCAGGATTTAGCTACTGAATTTTCTCCAACTTTTCTCCTCTCTTTTGCAATGCTCACCTTAATTCATCATAATCCTTTTTGAGAATTTTGAATTTTAAGCAAAAGAGCTTGCATCAAATCATTTCAAAGAATGTCAGAATGAAATTTTCTGATGTTATTAATATAGTTATTAATTAGGTAGAAATAATTTCTGATGTTATTTTTATCATTACTACTAAACTGATGGTGTGAATTTTTTAATTAAGTTCTTTGAATATTTTTTTTAGTTAAGTTCTTGTATATTTTTTAATACACTGAAAAATATACATTAAACATAAAATGTATTTCATACTATTTCTCTTTGTTTTTAAAGTTTGAACTTTTTCTTCTTAGATGCTTTGAGGTTAGGAGATCCAAAGGCAAAAAGAAAAAAAGGAGTAAAACCTACCGTAAGTATTTTATTTACCAAAAGTATTTATTTGTACAAAGTGTTACTACAGATGTTTCTTAAAATGACCTGTAATTATAATAACAGTCACAGAATAATGAATTAAAATAAGCTGAAAAATATCCTTGATACTTATTGATTATCCCAGTTCACATTTTCTTGATTGTTCAAGGAACAAAACTTCAGAAGTAAGTATCAGAGGTAAAAATAATAAAGTAGTTCATAAAATTCAAATATACCTCAAAAAGAACTGTATGCTGTACAAAAGGTAAAATATAAAATAAAAGCTTACTATTGCTTGTGATTATTTTAAAAAGTGAAATACTAAAATGGCTTTATCCACAGCAAATTTTGTAAACTATACTTTCTGGTCATTATTAATTGAATGCTTAATTATTAAAAGGAAGAAAAAGCCATGATCAAAATCAAAGTAAAAGTGTTAAAAGAGACGGGGGGGATGTTAATGATTGTCAGCAGGGATGTTCCTTGTGTAGACCTTCCCCAAAAGTTGAAGTAAACACGTAAGGATTCCCAAAATGTCACTGAGATGTTTTTACCATCAAAAAAATTTTTGATGCCAAAGAAATTATTGCTAATGTGATTGACTTTATAATTGACCTATAAAGTATAATTAACTTTATAATTGACCTATAATTAGTGTCCCTTTCTCATGTCTACTAAAGCTAGACATAATAGGGTTTAAAGGGTTAATAGATAGTTAACACAATAGGGTTTAAAATAGTTTTATAAAGTAGCTAAATGGTTGGATATTTCCTTGTTGTTTCCTTGTTGTTTATTATTCAAATTTTTAACTATGTTTTTTAATTTCACTCTTTCTTCCTTTTTTAAAAAAAATAATAGTAAATTTTTGTAAGAGTAAATTTTAACCTTTGGCATTTTATCGTCTGCTACTTTACTTTAACTTTGTTTAAATCGAATTGTCTAAAACTGAGAATTTTCGTTTGATGTTTATTTGAATTTTATGAAAATATTTTATGACATTAACTGCATAATTTATTTCGAAACAAACTGTTGCTTATGAAGTGGCTGAAAGAGCAGCTAATACTATCATCCAATATTTTTAAAGCACAGTATATTTTTATAGAAACATAAGATTTAGAATAATCATTTTTATAAAAGTCAAATTATGATATAACATACAACCCTCTAGAGACCGAATTAATGGAAGTTCAATGGTTATGTAGAAATGATCTACAGCTACTTAATGGCTGGATAAGTCAGCAGGTTCTGTGGACAAGTAAGAATAATTATATAAATGACACCCTTACACAATAATTATATAAATGACTAGAAACAGTGTACCGTAACAGCAATTCAATTATTAGCGCTGTATCTTTCATGTTATTCTCGATTAGCAAGCTACATGATTTTTAATGAGTATTCGGGTTTTGCTAGTAACTTCACTTGGAAATCGCACTTAAACTAGGTTAGTTAGTTATTTGAACATAGAAAGAACATGGGAGCTATTTGATTAAGATGCTTTCATAGAGACAATCTAGAAAACTACGAAAACCAACCATGCAGCTGGGTTAGACTTCACAACAAACAATTAGTATTTAACAATCTTCAAATGCTAGGTAACTGGTGAGGCTCCAGTTAAATCTCCAATTTAATATTTTATTTGTAAATATTTAAAATATTGTTGTATTCTTAGACACAAAAAGCTGTTAACTTGTTAGTAAACTACCAAGCCGTAGTGCAAATGAATATTCAATTTCTTTGGCAATAATTGTATTCACTTAATATTCTTGGAATGTGAGCTAAAGAAGGAACGTTCTTGGAAGATTAAAGAAGTGTTTAAATCCAGTGATATTAGGTTTGTCTTACAAGCTGAGGATCAAAACGATTCTGCAATTGCCCGAGTAGTTGACTTGTAAATGGCTGTGAATTAAGCAGATGACTTATTCACACGTTTACGTTGACGTTTTCTGACTGAAAATGTTTCTTACGTTTTCAGTCAGAAAACGTATTCCAAATGTTTTGTATTGCATGACAATGCATCTTTTCATTATTCATTTTCGTCAAGTTGAAGGATTGGCTATGGGTAATCCTCTCAGTCCGGTACTTGCTGACATTTATATGCACTATTTTGAGATGAAATTATTTGATAAATTATCTTTTCGTCTTTGGATTCGGTATGTTGACGACACTTTCGCACTTTTTGACGGTTATAAAGAGGATTTATCCGAGATTCTATCTATTATGAATTCAATTGATCCAGCCATCCAATTCACTTTTGAAATTGATCCCAACCCTCCCTCATTCCCTCCCCTTCCTCGATATTCTTATAATCCGCAATGAAACCGATTTTAGCACCACTGTGTACCGTAAACCCTTTGCAGTTTGTTTACCACCACCCCATGCCAAGTCATGCCACCCTGTTAAGCAAAAAATGGCTTCTTTTTACTATTATGTTTTCCGCGCGCTAAAAGTTTGTTTCCTCTGAATCTTTGCTTACCAATGAACTTAATTATTTGAGAGCAGTTTGCGATTGACCGTGGATTTTCTCCGTGATTATTGATAAAGCCGTCAAAAAATTTTCAGATTCCCATCAAAGAAGACATTCCACTGTTAGAAATAATATCAATGACCTTGTCGTGCTTCCATTTTATCCTTCTGTTAGCTATAAAATTGCACGGATTCTCCAAAAATTCAATTTTTCAAGTCGGTTTCTCCCTTCTTAATAAAATTCACCCTTCGATTCTAAAAGATTGCGTTTCTGTCTTGAATTCTTGGGGAATTTATAGTATATCATGTCAGTGTGGTTTAAGATATATTGGCCAAACAAAAAGAGCGTTGAAGTTTCATATCAAGGAACATGAATCTTATGTCAAAAAAGGGGAAATTAACAAGTCTTCAATAGCGTATCATAGCTGGACTTTTTAACCATAATTTTGATTTTGGGTCTGCAAAAATCATCCAAAAGGCTTCTTCCATAGGCGAATTGGATTTTCTTGAGGCTTTTCACATTCACAAAGATTTAGAAAGTTTTAGTTAATGATTTGAAGTCCAATCCAGTCCTTCCTAATGCCTTTAAAATTCTACTGTCTTAATTCAATTATTTTTGCCGATAGATGGCGTTACCTACCTCCTCGCACTTGGTACTACCAGAGGGTATAAAAATCCGTTCAGTGGTTGCTTTCCATTATTTGAAGTTCAAATTTTGAGCGTAATGTGCATTTGCCCCTCGCTCCCTATTTTAACTTCGCTAATATTTCTTTATGCTTGATCAGACAGCCTGGCTCAGTAAAAGTAGGCGGCCAGTGCAACTCTGATTAAAAATCTAGTTATAACGACGTGCAGTGCTGATAAGCACCACGTGTTTCTGTGATTCCTATTTTCTTCTTTCTATGTATTTCTTTCTCCTGATGAGGAGGGACCTTTAGCTGCCCTCGAAATCGATTGAGTGTTTTATTATAGACTACGCTAAATATAAGGTTGTTTTTCACGGTTTTGATTGTCACATTAGCGTGTTTCTCTTCTAATCTACTAAATGTAATCTTTTGGTCTATGTCATTAGCAAAATCTATTTTTAGCATATGGAAAAAAAAATTTTTAAATCAGTATTTCTTAGTGTATTCCCCCCAATCAGTATTTCTTAGTGTATAATTATGTTAATTAATATTAAAATTTCTTAGGGTTTAACTTAGATCAGTAATCATTGCCAAGTGCAATGTTAACAGAAAAGGTTACCATACTCTTTGTTATTTAGTTACTAATATATATATACACTCACGTTTGTGAAAATTGCAACACCAAGAAGGAATCGTCATAATTGAATGCAATTTAATACACAGTTGAGTGGTAGTGGTACAAATAATTGATTAAATGTTCAAAGCAAACAAACAAGAACAAGAGATCAGAATCAGTATTTTGTGTGGCCACCACGCGCCGCAATAAGTGCTGCTACACGACGTGGCATGGAGTCAAACAAAATTTGAATGTCTGACTGAGGAAGAGCATTCCATATCGTTTGTACGCGTACCCAAAGTTCGTCTGCAGACGCAACAGGACGAGGATCACGAGCAAGACGCCGACCAATGACATCCCACACATGTTCAATTGGCGACATATCCGGGGGAACACACAGGCCAAGGAAGAAGCTGTACCTGCTGCGCTGCAAAGAAGGATTTAACAATCCGAGCAGTATGAGGGCGGGCATTGTCCTGTTGAAATACAGCGCCTGGCAAACTTTGAAGGAAGGGAACAGCTTCGGACTGTAGAACTTCACGGATATACCGGTTGCTGTTAAGATTGCCCACAATTCGTAGCAATTGAGATCGTCTATGATATGCTATGGCGCCCCAGACCATAACTCCGGGTGTTCGTCCACTGTGGCGTTCGATAATGCACTCCGGAAGGTGGCGTCACCGGCATAGCGTCTGACACAAATGCGGCCATCATGGTACCACAAATTAAAGCGGGATTCGTCAGAAAACACGACATGCTGCCAATCAGCACGCCAGTCTCTATGCTGATTGGCCCATTGTAGCCACAGGCGGCGATGGTCGTGCGTTAGGGGGATCCTGTATAAAGGAGTCCGTGCGCGCAGTCCACACTGCAGCAGACGTCTACAAATTGATGAAGCACACAATGAAACACCTGTAGCTATTGACCACAGTGCTGCCAATTGTCTAGAGGAAGCGGTACAGTCCGTCCGCGCCATGCAGACCAGGTGTCTATCATCGCGAGCTGACGTCACATTTCGGGGTCCACTCCCGGATTTCCGAGTTGTCCGACACTCGTCCGTCCACTGCTTCCAAACGCGCATCACTGTGCTGCTGTTACGCTGCACACGAGAGGCTACTGCACGATACGACAATCCAGCTTCACGAAGGCCGATGATTCTCCCTCGTTCAAACTCTGTAAGTTGTTCAAATCTCGCTCTCTTTTGTCGACGAGGCATAAGTACAGATTGAGTTAACGTTTACCACTAGCAGATAATCACCGATAACCATACACGCCTCGCTACAGCCGTCTATTTATTCGGATCCATCAGCCGTTCAGAGGGCGCTGCTCAGCATACGCATGCGCTACGGATTTGCAATTCTAATCATTTGCATATCATGCGCTACTTTGCATTTCCTGAAAATTTCAGCTCACTCGCATAAGTCCTTCATGGTGTTGCAGTTTTCACAAACGTGAGTGTATATATATATATATATATATATATATATAAATGTTTAGGCATTGCTGCATGAGTCATTATTCAAGTTATCATATGCTGATAAACATGCGGAGGTGAAAGCTAAATTAACTACCACCCATTAATACATCACCGACGATTTGTTGGATCATTTTATAAATGACATATATACAGTAGAAGTCCAGAAATCTGCAAAGCTTGGGACCAGAGGTTGTGCGGATTTAAGAATTTTGCAAAGCGGATTTCAAATCGGCGGGTTTTTGGTATTTGGTATGTCAGGAAATGGCTAAACAGGTTTTTTTTTTTTTTTTTTTTTTAATATAATTTTTGGCAGATATTGTTTGGGAGTCACATATGAAGAGTTATTGTCTGCAGCTTGTTCTTTGCTTTCATATGAATTTTTCTAAACATCAAAACAAATGATTTCTCTGTCACTAGTTTCCAGTTCCTATTCTAATGCATTATCTATATTTCCTTTAATATTTTATTTTCATTGTTTATTCTCTCTTGTGTTTAGCTCCACTTTTTGAGAATTTGATCCCTGATTTTGTAACAAGATACAGTCAAATACCGAAAATCCGCCTACCTGAAATCCGCATTGGCTCTCAAAATATAAACATTCAGTTTATAGGTTCCGAAAACTGCAACATTGAGTACGAAATATCGAAGAAAAAATACTTACTGATTAATGACGTCATAATTACCAAAATAATAATGAGTCATAACAGAAATACCAAATTATTGACATAAAAAAGTTAAAAAAAATAAGATAAAAGTTTTTTACCTCTAATCTCTGCATCGTGGTAAAAAAGCAGACCATTCACTCAACTCTTCATTCAAGTTGACGTTTCACGTTGTATTTTCTGAGCTTTGTTATTTCACGAGATTGTTTGGTGCTGCCTTTTTTTATCCTGATATTTTGTGGATAAATTAAGAATATTTTAAATTTCAGCCCTTTTTAATACAATGACAGATAAAAAACGCACTCATGATTTTACTGCTTGCAACGTTGAAAAACATAATACGTTGCATTGACGGTAATGCAAAAAGTGCAAATTCTGCAAAAGATGGAGGCAGGTGCTACTCCTCAATTTATAGCAGAATGGTATGGAATTGCAACACGATTGTGTATGATATACGGAAAAATAAAGAAAAGCTGTTGAAATTTTACAGCAACAGTGATTCTAAGATTGGAATCCGAAACCGGAAATCTTTGCATGATGCAAAATTGGCAAACCTCGATGCTGTGTACATATAATACAATGAATAATATAAATCAATTTATATATATAATAATAATTTAATGCATATAATAAATTATTGCAATAATGTATATAATAATTTAATTAAATGTGTCTAATACGCCTTATTTATTTTGCACTTTTAGTCCAAACATTATGCTTTATCTTTTCTGTCCTGAAATCTGCAAAATCCTAAAATCCGCACAACATCTGGCTTTGCCGATTTCTGGACTTCTACTGTACCATTTATATGGAAAAATAAATTGCTTCTCTTATATTAAAATACATGATGCAAATTGCAATAAAAATTAATGCTAAATTAAGGAATATTGTCCAAAGAAACTTTTCCAGTTAAAAAAAAAAAAAAAAAAATGATGATGATGGTACACTATAGTTATGCACTTGTTGTCTGTAGTTGATATTAAAATAAAAGTTAATCTAGATTTGCCACTACGCTTTCAGCAAAGCAAGAGTCATGTATGGTATTATTAGCGGTGTATGCTAACATACCACTACCCACCTCTAATGTGCTGGTTAATATTCAAATGTAAAGTTATTAACATAATTGTTTAAGTTGTTCAACTGTAATCTGCGATTTTCAGGTTTTAATGATCTTCTTAATTTTTTATTAAGACTGAAGATCGAATTTCTGTGGAACTTAAGAAAGCTCAACAGTATCAAGCCTTTCAAGCTAGAGTAGCTAAAAGGGCACGCAAGGAGAAAAGAATAAGAGCTATCACTGAAGATGATGATAAGCCTAAGTTAAGTATGTGTGAAATTAATTATTCATTAATAATGCACCTTGCATACATATTTGAAGTTTTTCTCCCTGTATTAGTTATATATGTCTTAAAAAAAATTCCTGAAGTGTATTCGCAGTAAATAAATAAAGAGGGGGTGAGAAAGAGGGCTTATAAGAGAAAATTATATTTAAAAAAAAAAAAGAAAAAGAAAAAAGAAAGAAAGGAAGAGAGAGGGAGAGAGAGAGAGAGCTTATAGAAAGGTCTTAAAACCTTCAACCCTTAATATTTCTGAAAAAAATATATATCAATTTGCTTATCCAGAAATATGTAATCTTAAAAGAAATTAGCTAAAAAGATAATTTTTTTAAAAAAATGCTTTTTGGCATTAGAGCACTTTTTTAAATCGTTTTTGTAATTTCAGGAGATCTCAGGCGAACTTTTCTTTAAAATAAATATACAAATTTATATATATAAAATGAAAGATCTAAGCTTGTAAATATCTATTCATTAATGAGTGTTATTAATCTATATTATTACATGTGGTTATCAACGTATTGGCTTTCAATCTGTATATGCTTAATTCATGAGTAAGCTATATATACAGTCAAAAGTCTTTAATCCGGACTCATCGGGACTTCGGCGATTCTGGATTATCGGTTTTTCCAGATTATAGATCATCAGTTTAAATCTGGTAAGATGGCATGCAGAAATTATAAAATTAAAAATATTAAACCGTAATTTATGAAATAAAGACCAATTATGATCTATAGGGTATCAAAATTTACAAAAAAAAAAAAAAAAAAAAAAAAAAAAAAAAAAAAAAAAGCTTTATATTTCTTTGTTTACTTTATTAAACATTTCTTTCAACCCGTGCTACAATACGCATAGTCGAAATTAGAAAATTGCAACCAGAAAACTATTGGATGTGTATTCGTGATATTTATAATGACGAGGAATTTGATTTAAATCATATCAAAGACGGAGTACATTGAGATGAAATACTACATTTAGTAAGGAATTATAAGCCGATTAAAATAAAAACTGACAGATCAACTTCCAGTTCATTATTGTGTGCCGCGCCCCCTCCATCCCCGGCAGAGCAACATAAAATATGCCCTGAAGATAAGGATAGTGCTGACAGATCAACTTCCAGTTCATTGTGCGCCGCATTGTCTCCCCTCCCCCGCGGAGCAGCGTGAAATTGATAAACATATTTCGGAATGATTAGAGAATCAAAGGATATGCCTTTATCCATTTTTTGCAGCAATTTCAGTTTTTGTTTGATGGACATCGGAACATGCTTTCACTTTGTAGATCCTTTGCTAGCTCCAGAATCGGAAATTCTTTTTTGACATAATCGAAAGTTCAAGCTTACTTTTATAAAATTGCTCTAACAGTCTGCAAAAAATAATAAGCCGGATCCAATTAGAAGATTAAGGGACAACGCAATCTGAAACATTAACTGAAATAGATAATTAGATAATTTTAGCTTAGCTTATACCGTCCGTTATACATTAAACGCGCATGCGTAAACCAATTATGCGCATGCGTAGACGCATATGCGCATGCATATAGGTATTATGTGCATGCTTTGACGCATGCGCAGAAAGTTTGTAGCTTTGAGGTCCGGATTATAGATCATTCCGGATTATGGATGTCCGGATTAAAGACTTTTGACTGTATTTTTTGCAATGACTAACTGAGTACAACTAATAGAAAGGAGCATGTGTAAATATATGTATGTGAAAAATTTAGGGATTCTGAAAATAATCTTATTCTTAGAAGATGCCTCATACTGTAATGAAGTTAACATTGCAGTCAGTTTGCATGTAATTTTTGTTTTGTTAAACAATCAATATACTAGTTGTAGATTCAGTATACAGCACAGGTATAATAGAATCAAAACAATGTATTTTATAATAGCTAACACTGAATCAAAATACTAGCTGGAGAATTGTAAATGATGAGACAATTTTCATATTAAACATGAGTTTAATTTTGACAACAGTTTGTTTTCATATAAACATATAAAATTACTATTATAAATTATTAATAAAATTATTTGAGACTCTTAGTGTATAGCAGAAAAGTCTGACATATTTTCCTGCATATTCTCCTCTCCCTCATTTTTTTAATTGCTTTACATTTTGAAAATGAAAAGGGGAATATTATGCTGTGAGTATTAAATTAGAGGGAAGTAAGTATTAAATGAACTTAATTTATTTACAGCCCAAGAAATATACTTACATTTATGCTCTCTATATTTCTCTACAGTTATTGCTTCCATATTATTTCAATTCATTTTTACTGATGCAATATATTTAGTATGCTGCTACCACTAAGTAAAGTTTTTTAATTTTATGTTAGAAAGTCTAAGGCAAAAAGTATGCAAGTAAATGTGCTAATATGTCAAATATATGGTAAGGGTTTTTTTTTTTTTTTTTATTCACTATATCAAACAACGTGATTAAACTGCATGTTGATAATATAAAGTATAATACACAAGATTAAAGAATATAAAATATACCCATAGCAAAAACATGGAAAGTTCTTTACATATAGTAAAGCATAACCAATTTGATTACTTTAATTCAAATTTTATATTGCAAATTTTGTGAAATATTTAGGAAGCATTTTTGATAAAACTATAATATTGCTGGAAGTAAAGCAATTAACAAAAAACTGAACATGATCTTGTTGTTTTAAAAATGTAGTTGCATATAGAGGGAAAAAACTACTACACAGATGCAGATAGGCAGTTAAAAAATGAGTAACAATAACTATATTTGGCCATACAGCATTGTTTTGAGACTTTCCATAGTTTTAGATCGTTGCAGAATTTGACAGAGAATTTGTTTTTGGAAACTTCTGTCTTCTTCAGCTTACTGGCAAAAGTTCAGAACTGAAGCTTCATATTTAATAATTTTTTCTGGATATTTATAAGGATTTAGTAGCTAATTTTTAACGACATCTTTCTTTTTAAATGTTAAAATATCTACTTTTATTCATTACAGAAACAATTAAGAAAAGGTCGTTTGAAAGAGAGCTTGCTGATACAAGAAAAAGAACTGTCAAGCAATTTAGATATGAGTAAGCAACATATTTGATTATTCAAATAAGTATTTTTATCTATCTGTCTATCTCTGTATCTATCTATACTGTCTTTAGAGTAAGCAACCATTGTTTCATGTTATATGGACAAGACAACAACATCTATCTAATATATATACATATATTTGTTAATATTTGTGTGTGTTTGTTTGTAATTTAAGTTTAATGTATTTTTGTCATGTTATGTATTATTTTTATTCATTTATTTAATATAATTTATGTGAAGCGTTTTTCTAATTGAATTTATAGCTACTTATATTTGGACGTCAAAGTTGCCAGCTCTCCCGATTTGTAACCATTCTCTCTCTTGCCAAACTGATTAGTGCTTCCAATTTTCTCTTATTCTTAACATTTCTCATGATTTTTATGTAGCTTTGCTTAATACTTCTTTGTTTGCATAGAAAGTGATTTGGGGTGTCTGAAGCACTTGATTTTCCTCTAGAACATAGAAAATGCATTGTTTCATCAATGAGAAATTATAGGGCGTTTCTGCTTTGTGAGTGAGAGCATATGCGTCCAAATGTGTATTCCAGTTCTTCAATGCGCATCTAGCGCCACTGCGTGTCATCTGGTATATATTAGCCAATGAGCACAAAACAAGATTGAGGTTGTTATTTCATTTATCTTGTCGCTGAGCAGTGTCAGTGCACATGCTTACAAGGAATAGTTTGAGACATTACGATCTTTTGTTTTAGTTATATTTTCAAAAAGGGTAAAATACTCTTTTTTTTTTTTTTTTTTTTTTTAAATCCTATACAGATGACTTTCCTTCTGTTATTTCTTCAAGGAAATGTAATAAATTTGCGATGTGTACTGTTTGTCATTGTGATTTTTCGATTTTGCACGATAGAAGGGTTGATGTTCTCAAATATATGAGCACAGAAAAATACAACTTGAGTTCTCTTGAAAAGGGGGGGGGGAACGAAAAATTAAATTTTTCTCTGGAAACAAAGGGCCAAAAAGCTATTAATGCAGAATGCCTGTTTTTTTGTCTGTGACTAAATGCATCGAATCATTCTGTAGCTTCATTTAGAAAAATGTTTCCCGATAGCGAATGCCTCTCTACGGATGGAAGCAATAATACCGATTCAAAACTGTATCCAAGTGTTGTTCCTTTTTCAATCCACCCTCTTCAGAAATTGAGTGTAGTTTGCTTTCTATCCCCACTTTAGAAGGACATTCGACAGTCTTTAATATAACACAGGTAATTAATAAAAATTTAAAAGAAAATGGAATTCCTCTGGAGAATGTTTAGCACTTTGCCGATAATGCACCACTAATGGTAGTTGCAGGCATCTTAAAAAAGAAAAATATGAGGCAAATTGGCAAATTATGAGGTGCACTTGTCACATCTTAAATTTAACAGCTGAAGAAGGGACAGTTTCTTTACCAATAAGTGATGATAAACAGATTTTTCATACTTATTATTGCCTTGAAAGGAGTTCTAAAGGGAAAGAAAAATTGAAGCTGCTTAATACTAAGTAAATAAAGTAAGAAAAATTTTGAAACATGTATTACACAGTGACTATCTTTAAAGAAATATTTACCTAGAATCTTTGATCAGTGGAACCCACCTCTTGCATTTTTTAACGAAAAAGTAAACATTTTTCTAGAGTTAATATAAAAGGCTTTGTTAAAAGTTATAAAGTACAAAAGTAAACTGAGACGTAATTACTACTTCCAACATTAAAAATAGGTTTGAGAAAAATAAATTTTAACACCAGTGAGAAATTTAATTGGAAGTTCTAAACAGAATACTGCAAAATATAAGCATAAAACCGATACAGATTTCTCTAAAAATAAAAATTATATTTTTTTATATATTTATTTATTTACTTTTTTTGGGGGGGGGCTCAGCAAGGAAAACATTTTCTGATTACCATCAGTTTATCTTGTGAAGAATGAATATTTATATTTTTGTCTTTGGACCTTAATAAAGTGTTCTGCTTTTTTGTAGAATTGATTTTGCCATCATTGACAGTTCTATAAAGCAGCATTCCATTAATTCATGTTTTGCAATATATTATTAATGATTTGTTTAAAGACATTTTTATCAAAGTTTGTAAAACCAAGCTTTGTTTTGTCTTCTAACTCTATATATGATGTTATTTATGGTGGAATAGAAAATCATAAGAAAGATTAAGATGGTAATGGGGACTGCAACTAACAAAGTAATAGAAGAACTTTCAGATGAAGATAAAAATAAGTTTTATTTCCACATTTTAGAGCTACTTCTGCCGACTATGTCATTACATACTACATAAATTTCCGATTAGTGATGAAATGATTTTGATGCTAATATTGCAGATGTTTCTGCTCTACAAAATCCATCTTTTTCTGATACAAGATATTTTTTGAATAAATTTCAAGTTTTACTTCGTTAATTCATGAAAGATGATGATATTGATTTTGCAATTAATAAACTGCTGTCACAGTTGCAATTAAAAGCTTGGATAAAGTTATAAAACCTGCTAGGGTTGACACCCAGTGGAATTTAATTGAAAAGTTGAAAGGTGCTGATAGAATTTGAAAGTATAGTGAACTATCTAGAATAATGTTGGTCATCCTGGCAATTCTCATGATGCAGAATGCTAGAGGATTTTCAATGTTGTTGCGAAAATAAGGTCTAAATTTAGATCTAATGACACATTAGAAAAATTTTTATTAGCAAAAGCAGCCCTATGTGGCAATTGCTAGGAACAAAATTATGAGGTTTCTTTCTTATAGCGAAATCTGGCACTGTTCATAGCATTTGTATGAAAACTGATTAAAGTATTGTTAAAAGATGCAAATAATGAAAATGTTTTTTACATGTAAGTATTTTTGTACTTTTTGCATTTAAGAATTAGTAACTGAACTTTCAGATATTAATTAGTAACTATTTGAAGTTAATTCATTATTAAAAAATATTTTTTTATCATTAAAAAATTTTTTTGTCATTGAGAAAAATCTCCTGATTTCTCAAAAAAAGTATCCTGATTTTTGACTGTCTTAAGTTGGCAAGTATGGGATGTATTTATTTTATGTATTATATGTTGATCTTTTAATTTTGAATCAGTTAACATTTGGATTATAAGGATAGTTCAAGCAGAGCTGAAGATACGAGCAGCAATTTAGCATGACCATGACAACATTTCATGGGTTTCTTGCCAGCATGGTGATATTCAAAGGCCTAGAAGCAATTTTCTCAAAAATTGCGGAAGTGGTTACCTCCTCCTTAAACATCTTTATAAATAAAATGAGCAGCAAAAAATAGTTTTTGTTCAGTTTGCTACTATTTTGCTTAACAGCCTCGTGCTTAGTGATTACTACTTTAGACTTTGCTGTGTGAGTGATTTTGTTATTTTCAACTTTCCTTGTGTCAAAAAGAATTTGGCTTAACCTTATTTTTCTCTTTGGGATATTTACGGCTTTTTAATTTGCTGTTATTTATTTCAGTTTCTTCTTCTTCATTTAGTTTAGTTATTTAAGAAAATCTGTATGAACCCATAGCGCTAAACAATATGCATACTTCTATACCCTTTCGTGACTCTTGTAAAGAGGTAGGTGTATTTCAGTAGGAAAATACATTAGCATTTCCACTATCGTGCAGGAAATCTCAAAAACACTAGTTTGAATTTCAGACCATCCATTGACTGCAAAGCTTCTAGCTTTATTCTGCATTAAATTTCTCTGAGTTGGAATGAAATATTGGATTTGGGAGAGAACTTATGTTGAGAGTCAAGTTCCATGCATTTGCTGCAATACACACAATTTTGCAGCCTTTGGCAGCTCATCTAGTGGTTTTGATACTCTGGTATATACATGATGTAAGTTTTATAAAAGGACAGTATATAGTTTTATGCAGGTGTTTGTAATAATTAGTTAGGTATTTTTCATTTACTCTTTTTTTTTTTTTTTTCCTCTTGATGCAAACTTTTAAGTAAGTAATTTTGATAATTTGAAAACGCCTAAATTTTCGTCCGTAGAGAGTTATTTCATTATAAGTCATGTACTACTATTGTGATGCTAATTTATATCATTATTTTCATTTCAAAACATTTATATGATAAAAAGATTTAAATTGAATTTTTGGGGGCCGAGACAATATACTGTTATTGACATCTATTTTTGTGTTTATTATTTAATTTTCCTAGACATGAAAATTGTGTGCAGTTGTAAGATTGAAATACATCCAAAATTAAATTAAAATAATTTAGAAGTTTTTATTCACTATAATATTTTCAGAGCAATTCAGCATGAAAAAATGGAAAGACTCCAGAGAATAAAAATGAAGAAAAAGGCTAATAAAAAATTTAAGTCAAAGAGTCGGTAAGTGTTTTGATATTTGATTTTGTAAAATTTGAATTGATTGCAAAAGTGGGGGGGGGAGATAAAGATCAGCTGATTTTTATTTGAAACAACTGTTTAGTAGCCAAAAATAACAATTAGTTTTTCATTAATGATGTAAGAGATTTTTGGTGTTAAATTTCAACTGCTGAAACTAGAAAATAATAAAGATTAAAGCTTTTGTGAAATTTTCAAAAGATTAAAGTTTTATGCATTTTTCATTGTATTATTTTCTTTTAAATTGATGTTTGCGGCCACAAATATTCGGCACATTAATTGTGCCTATTCCAGAACAGTTACCCTTATACATAGAGAGAGAGAAGGAAAAGTAGCAAGCAGCAGCTTAGTGAGAACAGAGGTAAAAGCAAAGGAGTGCAGTTATCCAGTATGGCAGCTTATTGAGAGAAAGTTTATGTTCTCGAAATTTTCAGTAAAGTTGTGAATTAACTACATCCAGTGGCGGCTCGTAATAAGCACTGGGGAACTGCAGCACCCCCTTTTTCCACTTATTATTATTTTTAATATTTAATATAATGTGCCTTTTATTCTTTAATTCTTTCTTTATACTTCTACAATGTTTAATCCTTAAGCTTAATGTCAGTAGCCATCTCCCAGTTTATGAAAAAGGTATGCAAGTCTTTGTATGGAACTGCGCGCTTCACAGTTCCAGCGGCGCCGTGTTTGGCTGTTCTGCGCATGCACACACAGAAAGCAGCACACGAGCCAGGGAGAGAAAAGAGCACTGTTGCTTTTGTAGTGCCGAATCTGGCGTGCCATTGGGAGGTGGTTATTTTTTACTCCACGTGTGCTGTGTTTAAAAACCATACACCATATTCTTGATTTGATTATTTTTCAGCTATTCTATTTGATTCATTTTTTTTTTTATATTCTTTTATTTTACAGAAAACTTTAACCATGTCTTTGCATCCTCAAGTAATAAATTCTGTGACAGCTGTCTCTCCATGAAAAAGTTACAATTAAGAAAAGAGGTTGTTCAGCACCTGATATTCTAATATGTCAGCCAGGCATAAGCAATAATAAGAAATATATTCGTAGTTTCAATTCTGAATGGTACCAACAGAAATGTTGGCTTTGTGGTTGTGAAGGTGATGTAACATGGACAAAAGATGGTTTCAGAAATATAAACAAAGTGAAAGAAAAAACTGAAAAGCATGAAAAGAAGCACGTTGATAATGTAGTTTCACTGATACTTTTAGGAACCATTAGTATTAAGGAGAAACTTAGTGAGGGATACAGACTTTCAGTCAATCAGCATAACATAAAGGTTAAAAAGAACCGTGAAATTTTGTGCAAAATAATAGACTACATTTTCTTTTGAGGAAACTTTGAAACTTCCTTACATGGACATGATGAAACAGACGATTCAGTAAATCCAGAGGTATTTAGAGAATTAGTAAAATTTGCATCTAAATTAGATTCAGATTTGAAGAATCACTTAAAAAAAATAGTGCAGTCTTCAAAGATGTTTCGAAGACCATTCAGAATGAGATACTTGACTGCCTGCTTCAAATATACTATGAGGAGATAAGGACGGAAATTAGAAAAGCTCCTTTTGTAGCTTTAATGGCTGATGACACAACAGCTGTTTCGGAACACACTCAGATGGTCCTTCTTCTATGGTATGTATTGAATGTAGAAATAGTTGAGCGTTTCTGGGGATACTTTATTGCAGAAAATCAAACTGCAGATGGCATATCAAAATGCATTTTAGAACAATTGGATATAATCCTTCAAGGAAATGAACAAAAATTGATAGCTCAGACATTTGATGGTGCAAATGTCATTAAAGGCAAAAAAGCAGGAGTTCAAGCAAAAATAAAAGCAGTTTATACTAATGCAAATTTCACTCACTGTTATGCACATCAATTTAATTTAATAATGAAAAATGCAGCAAGTATTTCACGAAACTCAAAAATATTTTTTTCTAACATTCTGCCTATTCCAACATTCATCTCGAGATCACCGCAACGCGTGTCCATTCTAAAGAAGCATATTGACATTAGCATTCCACGTCCTTCCTCCACAAGGTGAAACCATAAACAGAGTTCATGAAAATTTGCAACCTTTAAAAAATTGCCTTACTGAAATTCATTCAACATCAAATGCAGATTAAACTATTGCAGAAGCAACAGGAATTTTAGAATATCTAAATGATGGTAATTTCAAGTTTGGGTTAGAGCTTTTTTATCAGGTTATGCCTCATGCTGAAATAATATACAAGCATATGCAATCCAGAGAAATTAGTGTGTTTGAAGTTAATGAATATATAACAAATTTCAAAACTGCTAATTTAGAATTAAGAAACTCAAAGTACTGTGAGAATTCTTCAAAGACACTGATGGCAGAAGCGAAGGAAATATGTGACTTTATATGTATAGATATAATGAACAAATATTCTTCCACTAAACACTTAGCAGTTGCTAAATTGTTCAACAAGAAATGATTCGCTAGTTTTAGGAATGCACATCCTACAGAAGAAATGGTACTGACCTCTGAAGCGTATCCAATGATTGACAAAGAAAAATTTGCAACTGAACTAAAGGTATTCTTTTGTAGGTCTGATATTCATGAGTACTGCAAATTAATTGAGCTACTGAAATTTATCTTGGAAAATAAATTACAAAACTGATAAAAATTCTCTTGACAGTTCCCATGACCACATCAGAGGCAGAATGTTGCTTTTCAACATTGAAAAGAATGAAAACTTTTCTAAGAAGTACTAAGAACTCAGAAAGAGTAAATGCGCTTGCAGTGCTTTCAGTAGAGAAAAATTTCCTCAGCTGTCATCCAGAGATCAAGGAGAAAATTATTGATCTTTTCGCGCAAATTAAAACAAGAAGAATGGATTTCATTTTTAAATGATTAGACAACGATTACACTGTAACAATTTAGGTTAAAGTAATGAAGAAATGTTTAATTTTGTTCTTGTAAGATTTCATGAAGTTTCAAAATAAATTTTCTTTTTATACATGTTTTACACAATTTTAAAACAAAGGTTAAAATTTTTTGGAACTGCACCCCCACTAATTTTAGCTACGAGCCACCACTGACTACATCATCAGCATTATGTAAATCATATGGATTGATCTAAGAATGATGCAGTCCAGAAATAGTTATTTTTCTTAGAAGAGAGAGAATATGTATCTAAATTAAAAAGAGGAATTAAATTGCTTTTGTAATTTAAATTATAATTTATATTATGTATTTTTATCTGTATATAGATAAAATGTATGTAGATATGTATATAGATAAAAAACTTTAATATAGCTATTACTTTTAATAAAGACTAGTTTTAAAATTTCATTTAAAAAATTTACTGTATATAAATGAAGTGTATACTTGATTATATTTTCATTTAATGTGTATTTTTAGTATGTTTTACTAGATTTTATTTATATTTTCATGTTTTTGTTTCAGGTACCGAAGAAAGAAATGAAACATATACTTTACATGTATATATGTATTTATATATTAATGTATATATTTTACAATAAAGTGCTATGCTCTTTTGCTAATAGCTTCTGTAACCAGTTTGAAAATTTTTTTATTGATATACTGAACAGTCATCATCAACACATTCTTGCATAAGTTGAAAAAAGGATCACAGATTCTTTATAAAATAGTTAGCTTAAAAAGTCATTATAGTTTTTCTGTTATGAACCTTATCCATTTGTTTTAACTCGTATGTTATTTTAATTTGAAGAAAAATTACAAATCTTGTAGAATGGAAACAAAAACTGCATGTTTGACGAAAAGATTAGGCTGCAATTTAGTAACTAATATAACATAATGTGATGCAAAAAGGGGGGGTGTAAAGGTTGATTCTAGACCAAGGGTTCTCGACCGGGGAGGGGGAGGGAATTCATAGTTTTGGGGAAGGCGAATGTGGTCAGCCTTTAATTTTGTTCTGCTACATATTTAGTTAATGAATATAAAAGTGCTACTTTTCTTAAAGTTTTGGTATTTATCAACATTTTATACACTTTTTTTTTTTTTTTTTTTTTTTTTTGGTGTTTAATTTATAAAACATGTCGAAAAATTATCTAAATCTTGATTAAATATAGATTTATTTTTTGAGTTTTGGAAAGGAGTGGGGGAGTGATGAAATGCCCTTCCAGCAATGTTGAAACGGGTAGATGGGGCTCAAAATGTTGAGGTCCCCCATTCTAGACATTAATGGGGTGAAAGATGATGTCTACAAGAATCTTTGAATTATCAGTTTTGTTTTTTTAACAATATAATGATTCACATTTCTTTGTAAGAAAATATTTTACACTTTGGAAGTTAAATTATGTATGATAATATGCATACCATTTTTGTTGTATTTTTAATATATCATTAAACTTTTTTTTTTAGTTGAATTGGATTATTTAATTTTAATTAAATAATCCAAAGCATACTAAAACTATTTTAAGTTGAATTATGCATAGTAACAGTGTAATTTTTTATTATCATTTATAGTTATCTCAAATGTATTTGCATAAAAATTAAGAGGAGCAGAAGCATCATGTGCATGCCAACAAAGCTGCCCACTTCTATTTATGAGAAAATTGGTATCAGTTAAATTAAGTAAATACACTGATTTCTAATATTACAGAGTTACATATAATTATAAAATTAAGAATGTAAAAAATAAATAAATAAATAAATAAATAAATAAATAAATAAATAAAATTGTAACACTTTTTATATTACATTGCATTAAAACACACATGGCACATTATTATTAAGGTTTCCTATTATATTATGAGAAATTATACTGAGCAACAAATTTTAGATTTTTCTTGCTGCACAGATCAAAATATATGGTTGTAGGGAAAGTGTTCCACCAAAAAAATGTTCATAATGAAGTTAGGGGGGGATAAAAAAAACATGAAAGCTAGCATCTTATTGTCAAGGATTTTACTTTTTTCCAGATACTCTTTGTGGGCAGTATAGCACAAAATCCATAACGTCCTTAAACATTATAGTCAATAAAAACTTCCTAAATTATACCACCAGATACAAAGCATGATCTTTTTGTTAGTCAAATTGTACTTTGCGATGCTGCTGACGGGCACACCGGACGCACACCAAACCCCTTTCCAGCCCGTATTGTTGAAGTAAATCCACTTTCCATCACAGGTGACGATCCAGTCCAGAATTTTATCTTTGTGTTGATATTAAAGCAGATTAGTACTGGCTCGAAGATGTCTGTCCTTAATCTGCTTGAGTCAGCTCTTGTGGCACCCAGCGACTGAACTTGTACGTCAAGTTTATGCAATGCATAGCACGACTAATGAACATGCCACTAACTTGTAACTCCTTAAAAAGCTCTCGAGTGGTTGCATACTGATCTTCTTCAACAAGTTCTCACAGGCACACCTCATCAACATCAGTAGGCCAACCAAAGTGCTGTCCTTCTTGAATGTCATAGTCCTTGTTTTTGAACTTTCGGTACCAAACCTTCACAGTGTTATATGATACAACATTAGTACCTAATGCCTAATTAGTACCTAACAGTTATACACATGATTTAGTGACATTCTGTAGCTGACTTTTGCAACACAACTGGATGTAAATGATGGTTTTAATCTGGTAGTGTGATAGTTCCATTTCAGACACCCTGTACTTGATTATAAAGATTTTTTTTTTCCCAAATTTCACAACACAGTGTTCAAGCCTCTTTCTTTCAAATGCAAAAAATCATTTGACAGAATATGATTAAACACACGAATGTGAACTGTTTGTGTAGACAATATATGTGGTGGGCGGGAAACTTTCATTAAAATCCAAAAAGTGTACCTAATTTTATTCCTGTGTTCATTCAAATATGTTCCTATCTCATAGAGGATTTTCCTAATATGCTGTTAAAATTTATGTGATTGATCATATATTTATATATGTATCAAAGAAGGAGAATAATTTCAAAGATGTAAATTCATTTTTTTCTGTTATACTTGGCCGAAAGAACAGCGTTTTTAAAGGAGTCTAACTGAAGAGAGGAAGCGTCATATTCTACTAAAACTCCATCTATACATGAATGGCCCACTCATGGCTATTTTGTAGGTAATAAGACATGTATAGAATTACATGTATAGAAGTGGTCACATCGAGATCAAACTTGCTGGGCTGTGCAAGCATTTAAAAATACATATTCTCATGATAATGAAAATAAAAATTATGAAGATGCTTGTTGTTTTTATCTTAATTTGTTTTTATCTATTTGTTTATTTCATCAATTCTTTTAATGACCTGGAACTTATATTAAACTGGATAAATAATGCAAAACCGTAAGCATCTTTTTCATAATTGCAAATGTATATATTTTTAAATTCTTGCTTGGCCTAGGAGACTCAGTTTCTCTGTTTCCATTTCCATTAACCCTTTGATGGTTATGAACAAGTTCAGCTCGCAATCAAATTGTGTTTCATAATGCGCGCAAACTAATTCCGCTCGGGAGCAAGATTTGAACTGAAATGGTTAGAAACGAGCACTACTCGCGTAGTGAAATTTTTTCCCAATGCGCGCTGATGAGCTGAGCTCGTTCGCTATTATTATTCTGCATTGATTATGTTACAAAGGAATCCTACTCGCAGAATTTAGTTAGTTTTACTGTCTACAGATGGCAGTACAAGTTCCATGAATTTCTTTTCATAAATGAAGGGGGAATTTTTTTTTACCTTGTTCTTTTTATGTGTATTTTTGCACGTTTCTTAGGGTGTTTGTAAAGTAAAATGGCTCAAAAGCAAAAGTTAGATAATTATGATGGTGATTATGATTGTGATACAGAAACCTTATCAAATTTTGAGTCTAATCAAGATTTTGTTCACATTATATCAATCTCAGAAGATGATTCAAGCAATGAGGAAGATTTTTCAAGTGTTCGACAGTGATGTAAAATTGATTCAAGTTCTCACGCTCCTATCTGATTTAGTTTTACTGGTTAGTTTAGTTTACGATTTAGTTTTTAAGTATATCACACACAAAAAGATTTTTGGGTAATTACTGTATTTAAATGCTTCATAAAAGTTTTACATTAGTTGTATTTGTTAGTCCTTTCAATTTAATATTTGTCTTATATTTATAATTAACTATTATTATTTATATAATTAATTATAATCATTTATAATTTACTATTTAATAATTATCATTTATTAATTATTTTAAAATACGTAAAAACGGTTATTTATGTACTACTAAGAAATTTTTAAAATGCGTGATGCGAGCTATCTACAGCATCGCCTGAGAAGGGTGATATTTTCGGGAGAACGGCATGGGAAAACAGCTGCCACTTTCGACTACTGTTTACTCGTAATACTGCATGAATTAAGTAAATGAAAACTGCTTATTTCTCTAACCATCAAAGAGTTAATATAAACATGCTGAATATGCTACCTACAGAATTGCTATCAGAGGGTCACACAACGTATAAGTTAGTGCAATTTAACCATGAATCAAGTGTACACTTAGGAAACTGTAGATGTTCATGAATAACTTCAAAGAATCCAAAGGAAGTTCGGTTTAGGTAGAAGTGAAATAGAAAATGTTAAAGAAATAAAGGATAGCATGACAAACCTCTATGACGACTTTTCAGCATTGATAAAAAGCTACATCCTAATGAGGGTTTAAAATATATTGAATAGCTAGATTCATCATTGAATAACATGGAGGTAAGAATTAAATACCTTCTTTCAACACTTAAAAATAAATAACGCTTCAAATGTTAAAGGTGGTTGTGTATCAGTGCTTCAGAGCCAAGTCAAGGGTGAGGTAAGTGAGGCAGTTGCTGCAGGTGAACAACTAGAAAGGGTGCCAGATTAGCTACAACAATTTAGAAATTCATCATGGTTAAGTTTCAATGCTAGAACACATCAAGGCATACTACTGAATAAAGAGCGGAATTAACATTAATTTATCCTTAAAAGTACTGACCTTTCACAATGCTGTATATATTATTTCATAATATAAGAATATTTGTTATTGGAACTAATGTATTGAAATTCAAGCTTGTTGCAACGAGCTGCGTAGAACTGCGCAAAAAATCATCATGCTGCCTATCCATTAGTACTTATCTACTGTCTCCTTTTAATCTGAACTATAGCTCTTACTGCTGTTTGTCATGGATTGTGACTGCTGGATTTTTACTGCTGTTTGTCATGGATTGTGACTGCTAGATTTTTACTGCTTTTTGTATGGATTCTGATGCAATTGCCTGCAGTTTGTTGCTGCAAGTTTAACACATAAAGGCCGACTGTAATAGCATAGGCAGACTAAGCAAGTATGTTTGATAATTAAATGTCTGTATTAACAATCTTTTGTTTTAATATTTTATCAAATTGCATGAAAAGAACTGAACTGAAAGAAAAACCACTGATTCTAGATTAAAAATGCAAATCTTGTACGACAAATACGTAAGCGTACACGTGTGTGTTGGAGGAGCCAGCAAAAAAAGCAGGCTTTATAAGCGCTTGGAGGTAAGACGAATTGCGTTTGCTAGCACACCTCGGCGAATTTCCTGGTGTTATCTTGCAGCAATCGGTTAAATTTA